AATGGATAACATAATTTTTAAACAAATTATGGGCGGTTTAATGTAGTTAATTACAACAAGACCAAGTATAATACATTATGTGAATCTAATTAGTAGATATATGGAGAGTCCAACGGAGATGCATTCGTCGGTTGTCAAGAGAATCTTTCATTATTTATAGGGAACTAAAGATTTTAGGCTACTTTGTAAAAAGGGTGAAAGATCATATTTATTTAGGTTTATCGACAATGATTATGCGGGAGATCAAGATGATAGAAGGAGTACTTTTGATTATGTTTTTATGTTGGGCACATGGGCTCGTTTCGTGGTCATCCAAGAAGCAACCAATCGTCACTTTGTCAAGTATAGAAGCAAAATTTATTGCTGCCATAGTGTGCATGTCAAGCCAAATGGCTAAGAAAAATTCTTGAAGAGATACATTTCAAGCAAGTGAGAGCTACTGTAATTTTTTGTGACAATACCTCAACCATCAAACTTTCTAAAAATCTTAGGCTACATGGTAGAAGTAAGCACATTGATGTGAAGTATTATTTTTTGAGAGATCTTAGCAATGATGGAACAATTGAGCTAAAGTACTATAAAAGTGAAGATCAGCTAGCTAATATATTTACCAAACCTCTCAAATTTCCTTACTTTCAAGATTTGAGAAAATTGCTAGGCATTGGCAATTTGGAAATTTAAATTTAAGTCTAAAAGCTTTCAATTTAAGGGAAGGATTGTTGAATAAAGATTCTGCAGGTGTCTTTGATTTCCTGTTTGTTTGTCCTAGTCTACAAGAGTTTTTATATTCATTCAATGTTTGTCCTAGTCTTCAAGAGTTTGTTTAATCTGCATAACATGGGTTAGTTGCCTAGAGTATAATATAATATTTTTTTTAGCAGTTAGTAAAACAAATAATGATCGAGTATGATTGCAAGGCAACAGGCGAAAAGTACAGTGCAACTAACTTTGCATTATTGCCACCATTTAAAGCTATTAAATAAATGCATAACAGCTCATCTCTTGCAATTCATGCACAAAGTGGTGCTATCTCTGCCACGTCAAGGTTGGTGAAGAGATTTTTTATGATTCAGAACACCAGAAAGGAAATGAACAAAAGGTCGCGATTTTGATGTAGCTTGCGTCTTGTCAGGAATCAGCACATTGATAGTTTTTTTTTCTTTTTTCTGTAGGATTTTAATATAAAAAGTTTGTTTTTCATTTATTAACCACAAAAAAAAAAATTAATCGGTTTTATTGTTTTTGCATTTAAGTGAGGACTCTACAAATCCTTTTTTTTTTTTTTTAAATAGTTAATGATGTTGGTGATCCACAAAGGAATGCGGTTTACAGGAATTACTTTGATTTAGATTACTGTTAAATTTCTATATACTATCCACGAATAACTAGCTAATTTTACACTTTACAGCTAATCAGCTGAAACTTCATTTTGTGTAGGATTTTGATATGAAAAGTTTCTATCTAAATGATTTTTCAATTATAAACCACCCAAAAAGTGTCAATCTATTTTATAATTTTTGCATTTAGGTGAGGACTCTACATGTCCCCTTTTTTGTGTACGGTAATTAACGAGGAACAACAAGAGAAAGTGGTATAGTAGTTAAAGGGTTACTTTGATTTAGTTACGATAAATTTAATTTTTATTATTTATAGATAACTAGTCATAATTAATCTTTATTAATACTAAATTTAGATTAGTTTGGCCTAAAAAGTAATCTAATGTTTGATCAAAAATTAAACATTTTTTAGTGTTGAATTAATCCAAAGAATGATGAACATAGTCTCAATTGATGTGAAAGATAATACGAGAATATCCTACAACTTGTAAATATCAAAATAATAATAATGATAGTGGTGGTGATAATGATGGGTATTATTCTAAATAAGAAAACTATATTTTTAGTACCCAATTGTAATTTCTTTTATTTTATTACATAAACTTTTTTTTTTTTTTCGTATTTTGATGGTGGTGATGATGGTGAGTATTATTCTAAATGAGAAAACTATATTTTTAGTACCTAATTGTAATTTTTTTTATTTTATTACATAAACTTTATTTTTTTCTTCCTATTTTGACGCCTACTGTCCTCAAAGACTAAATAATGTTGATACTGCTGACTTGTCTAAGAACATCTACCAAGTTATATTGTTTAAATACCATATGGCAGTTTTGACCAAAATGTGAAAATTTTGATTTCCAATTTTTGATTTTTTTTTTTTAGTACCCAAGCTTTGATTTTTTTTTCCTATTTTGATGCATACAATCATCTGAATTAAATAATACTGACATATCAGAAAATATTTATCATATGTCATTTTTTAACTATCACGTGATAGTTTTGAATGACACGTGGATAATAAGTAAAAAGTTAAAAAACATGATAGCCTTTCGTTAGTTTTAACTATCTAATTGAGAAAAAAAAATTGGATTGAGAATTTTTGAATGACTAAGAGATTCAATTGAGATAAGAAATTCTTTAGGGACTAAATCAAGATTACCTCTGTAGTTGCAGAACTTTTATAAAATTTTGATTTGAATTTCCATTGATGTCCCAAACAAACTTCTCTTCACGACTCACCTTCTCCAATAACTTCACTGCCTTTCTTTCGTTGTCCCACCAACAATAATTTCTTCCAGCTATCTCAATCTCTCGCTTCTGCTCTCTTTTCACTCTAAAATTTAAAAACAATAGTGTAATAATCCACCACTATGACCCGACCTGTTTTTCTTCTATACTTCCTCCGGTCTTACTTCTCCTCATCTTTATCTCTCTTATCATGCCCTTACTGATTCCAACTTTGAAGGATTCGAAGTTGAAGAAAATGACGGTGTCATCAAAGAAACTACATATTTCAATACTTTGAAAGTCACCAATCTTCATTTAACTCAATCTGAGTAAACCCTCATCTTAACTTTAGCGCCCGATCCTGAAGACCTGGATCTCTAACCCACCAAACTTTGCTCCCCACCTTTAACAATCAACTTCGATTATTGGTATAAAGACAAATTCGAAGTACTCCCTTCTAATCAACCCCATATTAAATCTTCATTAATTACTGAATCTATCACTTCCAATGTCACTATCCAAACTCTAGAACCCAAAATGCACCACCATTTTAGAAAAGAAACAGTTAAGGGTAGCCATTTTTTTTCTTTCTAACTTTTTTTATTTTCCACGTGTCATTTAAAACTACCATGTGACAGTTAGATAATGTCACATGATAAATATTCTCGAATAAGTCAGCATTATTCAATTTAGGTGACTATAGTCACCAAAATAGAAAAAAAAAATTGAGCACCAAAATAAAAAAAAACTAAAAAGTCAAAACTGACACTTGACAGTTAAAAATGCCACGTGATAGATGTTTTCACATTAGTTAGCATTGTTTAGTCCCCGTTGACTAAAAGTGTCATAACCAAAATTTGTCATACATTTTATTTTTATTTATTTATTTATTCCATAATTTTTATTTTTAAAAATTTTCTTTTACATGTGCACATTCATTTTTATATTTATTGTTATTATTATTATTTGGTTTTAGTTAAATTTTTATATTTTTAGTATAATTTATCAATCATTTTATCATGAAAAATCGACAATCAAAAAGCAGAGAGAGAGAGAGAGAGAGAGAGAGAGAGAGAGGAAAACATAAAAATTAAGTTAATTTCTTTTTATTTTTTAAAAAATGAAAAAAAAGAAAAATACAAAAAATACAATTAAGGGTGCAATTGAACAAATTGAGAGAACATAAACCAAAATCAAAGGACATTAGGGGTGCAATTGAAAAAAAATGAAAATAAAAATTGAGATCAAGAGACATAAGGGTGCAATTGAACAAATTAAAAAAACAGAAACTGAAATTAACTAATACAGGGGTATGTGTATAAGAATTTAACTGAGTAAAGGACCAAAATAATGTGCCTGAGGGGTATAATTGAAGAGAAATTAGAATACAAGAAAGATAATTGAAAGGAGGAGCAAACGACAAGACCAATTCAAAAGTTTTTCCAAACAGCCTGTCATGCATCACAACTCTAATTCATCTTCCCTCCTCCGAGAATTATTCATCGTCTTCTACAGAGAAGACAACCCCCAAATCAAATAATTCCTAGCTGGCAATCGTACCGGCTAGGAATCACACTTCAATACTTGCACCAAAACCTGCACACACGTATTTACACACTGTCCTTTGATTTTACCACAAAGCCCCCTAAACGCAATGGAGGAGCGTTGGTTGTTTCGGTTTTTAATGGGATGGGTCAGGATGAATTGAGGATGATCATAAGGCTGAGGAAGGAGGGAAATCGAGTATAAATAGGGCCCTAAGGATTATGTGAAAGGGAGAGGCAAAATTCTTGTTTTAGAGGAAAAATTCTGGGTTTCAGGGGAGAAAAAATTACTGGGTTCAGAGAAAAAAAAAAAAATACAATCTTTAGGTCTCTATAATTTCCATCCAATTCTGGGATTCAAAGGAAACCTAGAAAAGAGTAAGGGAAAGGGAAAGGAGGATTTCTATAGAAAATTTCTTTTCCTATACTGAGAGAGGAGGATACAGAGAAAGAGAGAGAGAAAAAGAGAGAGAGAGCTAATTCCTGACAGTGGGTAATGCGAGTTAAACTTTTTAGCAAGAAGAATCAAGATGAATTAGTAGCTTTATTGAATGAAATGCAAGAGTTTGAATACAAACAAGTGAATAGAAGAATTATTTGATAGGAAGCAGAGATTAGAAAGAAACAAAGAAGATAGACTTTTAACCAACTGATCAAAGATACTCAATCTCTCACTAATTTTCTGTTATATACTTCCCCTAACTAGCCTCTTTAACAGATTACTAACTAACTCGTAACAACTAACTATCTCTTAACTAACTAGTAACTTCCTCAGCCACGTGACTTGGGAGCTAACTAATCTTCCAGCCTATCATCCACCTCAACTTCAGCTCACCAGTCCATCATCTTCAACGATGAGACTGCATCAATACCTCCCTCTCTAAGAAACCTTGTCCTCAAGGTTGTCACAACCTCCCGGATCAAAGGTAACATAAACCAAGTCAAACCTTTCGAGTTGCAAATTTTTTTGCAAAATACTATGAACCTCAGCACTCTTAACTGCAACCTTAGTCAAGTGAAAAATAAATGCATGGTTCCCCAACCCATCAAAGGCCACCTCATCTCTTGATTTAAGCACACAGATAGCACCCCTTTTGATAAGTGCTCGATTTACTTGCACCGATCCTTTACTCCCTGAGGTTCTTAGCACGGCAACAACACCTCCCTCATACTGTGTATGTTTAATCTTGCATTGAATCATGGCCATAGCATGATCCTTCAACAGAAAATCGCATTCACCATTCTCTTCCATACCTAAATTTGGAGTTGAATTACTTTCCATGCCATCAAGCTCAACCTCAGAACCATCATTAACAACAGAATCAGCATGTTCATCCACTAACTTCTTGAATCCGTTAATCAACTCCTTGAGCTCACCAATTTCTTGGTCATGACGTGTAAACACAGAGTCACACCTCTGAGTTAAGACTATAATAGCGTTGGTGAGGTTAACAATGGATTCCACCAATTTCTTCAATTCAATGGATTCCTCTGCTGTTGCCATGATTGTTCTGTTTGTTTGCTCTTCATAGGTGTGAGGAAGTTGGCTTTCATACCACTTGATGCCAGTTAAACTTTCCAGCAAGAAGAATCAAGATGAATCAATAGCTTTATTGAATGAAATGCAAGAGTTTAAATGCAAACAAGTGAATACAAGAATTATTTAACAGAGAGAAGAGATTAGAAAGAAATAGAGAAGAGAGACTTTTAACCAACTGATCAAAGATACTCAATTTCTCACTAATTTTCTGTTATATATTTCCCCTAACTAACCTCTCTAACAGATTGCTAACTGACTTGTAACAGCTAACTATCTCTTAACTAACTAGTAACCTCTTCAACCACATTACATGTGAGCTAACTAATCTTCCAGCCTGTCATCCACCTCAGCTTCAGCTCACCAGTCCATCATCTTCAACAATGAGACTGCATCAATGGGAGACCTGGGTTCATTTGGAGTGCCTCTCAAAATAGGAAAAGAAATTTCTCCTCCATGTTTTCTTTTCCTTATAGATAAAACTTGGTTCCATCTTCGAGTCTTCAGCAATTGCAACAACTTGCAATCTCTCCCTAGTAAGTTTTGGAACTTAGACCATTACAGCTACATCTCTCTCCTCCATGTTTGCTATTACTTTCTTTTCATTTTAGTCATGTTGATTCTTCGCTTTGACATTATCCCTAGACTAGTGAACTTGAATAAAAAGGAAGGCAGGTCTTTCTAGCTTCATGGGCGTTTAATAATGGCAGAAGGAGTTAAGGACATAGAAGGGTTTCAGTTATGATTTAGGCTTCGTTTATTTTGTGGAAAACAACTTCTATAGAAAAATCAATTCTTGATGAAGCTATTTTCCTAGAAATTGATTTCCAAAAAATATTTTCTACCATTTGGAAATTACATAGGAAAACTGCTGGAAAATATATTTCGAGTGTTTGTTTAATACGGAACATTAAAATACAAAAATAGTATGTGATTGTTACATCAACAAGTTTTGAGAAAACTTCAAAAATACATATTCATAATTTCATAATATAAGAAATATTTAGAAAATTTAATAAATTTCATAAATACTAACTCTAAAATTTTAATTCAAAAAAATAAAATCTATTTTTTTTTAACTATCAAACAATTCATCAAAATTACTTGGGACAAAATCAAGTCAACATTCACATTTATTATATATATAAAAAAAAAATTCTAAGTAATCCTAGCATTCTTAATTTGGTAACTCATTTAAGAATTTCTTTCTTTCTTTTTTTTTTTTTTTTAGAAATTGAACTGATAATTTAGTTTAAAAAATAATTTTATAAATTATTAGTTATCGATTGTAGATAATTATTCATTTGGTTTCAAAAGATTAATGTTAGAATAATTTGTAACTAATTATTCACTACAATTACTAACAAAATTTTACAACTGATTAAAATTAAAATTATTGATTTAGTTGCAAATGAATAGTGTTGAAAAAATAATGTGTTTATTAATGAATTAATTAATTTCAAATTTTTTACAAACAATTACGAGTCTTGTAATAGTCATTTTCAATCATTTAAGTATAGTGTAAGTTATGTTTGAGATAATACTAAAAAAATAAAGATAAATTTTTAAGTATTTATTATAAAAATAATTTTAAGGTTTAAAAATGGTTTTTAAGAATATTTAATGTATCTATAAATAAAAAAATTCAAATATTAGTACAAATAGAGAAAAATAATTAAATAATAATTAATAATTAATAAGAAAAATTAAAAATTAATTTGATATATTTAAAAAAATAGAGAAAAAATTGTTAAAATATATCGAGAGAGAAGTAGGTAACACGAGAGTGAGACGGCTCGTGAGAAGAAAAATTTTTTTCTCTTTTCAAACTTGAAAAACATTTTTTCAAAAATACTCTATCATTTTTCATTGATCGAAAATCATTTTTCATTTACTTTTTTCTTAAGTATGAAACAAACACCGAAAAATTCCAAACAAACATAGCCTTAATAAGAAAGGATTCAAAACGAGAGGAGAGAAAGAAGGAGAAGAAGATGATTGGGCTGAGGAAAGGAAAAGAAGAAAAAGGATTCTAGGCTGGGAAAGGGGCAAAAAAAAAAACTAGGTTCGTTGTTTAAGTTAGATAGGTTGGTCGTGAGCTAAGAGTCGGCCCGTGGGTTATGAAGGCTCGAGGACCAAGTAAGGGATTAAAATTTTTATCTTAAAATTTTAGAGACCAAAATGAAATAGCCTAAAAATAAAAAAAATTAAATAAAAAAACCTAAATTGATGAAAAAAAGCCAAGGGAAAAAAATAAAAGAAATGGCACGCATAGTGAAACAACTTGAAAAAAAAAAAAAAACCAACTATAGGAATGAAGAGTGATTTAAAAAAATTAAACAAAAAAGAAAAGAACCTAAATTGATGGAAAAAAGCAAAGGAAAAAAAAATGCATGTGTAGTGAAACAACGTTTTTTTTAAAAAAAACCCTTGCTATCGTTGTATAAATGTAAAAAATACCGTATATATTATACAATTGTCGGTTTGTGTAAAAAAAGCAATGATTGGTTTTTAAAATTTTAACACCTAATTAAATAAAAAAGAAAAAAAAATTGATGGAAAAAAAAATGCATGTGTAGTGCATCGGTTTGGGGATTAAAATTTTTATTTTAAAATTTTAGAAACCAAAATGAAACCACCTCAAAATTAAATTAAAAAAAGAACATAAATTGATTAAAAAAAAAGCAAAGAAAAAGAAAAGGCATGCATAGTGAAACAACTTGAAAAAAAAAAACCTAGCTAATTAGATACTCCCACTATGCTAGGTCACATAATCGTTATATACGTATAGTTAACGATTCGTATAGTACAATATGAATATTTTTTATGATTAATGTAAATCACCGGCATTCTAAAATTTTATTCCAAAATTTTTATATGAAAAAAAAATTTATTAACAAATAAAATTATATCAAAAAATTAATTTGCCGAGGATTCTAATAAAAAAGAAATAATCTTTAAACAATAAGAGTAACATAATTAGATATATATATATTCAAACTAAAATCTTAAGAAATATCATATATATTTTATCATATTCAAACTGTACATAAAAATAAAAATAAAAAAATTATTTTTTATATTTTTCACACATAATTTCATGATAATATATATATATATATATATATGTGAAGAAAAAAAGAAGGTCGGGCTCGCGCCTAGTTGGGTTAAACGAAGCATCTAATGCACGGCACGCGAGCCTACATACTTTTAGCTCTCTCTCTCTCTCTCTCTCTCTCTCTCTCTCTCTCTCTCTCTCTCTCTATATATATATATATATATATATATATATATATATATATATATATATATATATATATATATATATATATATATATATTAAAATAATATATTTTAAAAATAAAACGCATACGTTCTAAAATTTTATTCCAAAATTCATATATTAAAAAAACCAATTTATTAACAAATAAAATTATATCAAAAAATTAATTTGATGAGAATTTTAACAAGAAACAAAATAATTGAAGAAATAAATTTTAAACAATAAGAGTAATATAATCGGATATATATATATATGTTCAAACTAAAATCCGAAAAAATATCATATATATTCTATTATTTTCAAACTCGTACGTAAAACTAAAAAAATAATTATTTATTTTCTATATTTTTTCACACCTAATTTCATTATATATATATATATAAGAGAAGAAAAAAAGAAAGAGGTCGGTCGGCACTAGTCGGGTTGAACGACGACCAAGGCTCGCACGTTAGGCCTTGGCTATTGTTCAACCGAAAAAAAAAATCAAACAAAAATAATTAGGGCACGGGAAATGAACGAGTGGTTACTTGTTCAAATGCTGCAGATTCTTTTAGGTTTTTTTAAAAAATATATATTTTTTTATTTTAGTCGAATTTATAAATTATAATAATATTTTTTAAAAAATAAAACACCGATGTTCTAAAATTTTATTCCAAAATTCATATATTAAAAAAAACCAAATTTATTAACAAATAATTTTATATAAAAAAAAATTAATTTGATGAGAATTTTAATAAGAAATAAATAGCTAAAGAAATAAATTTTAAACAATAGGAGTAATATAGTCGGATATATATGTTCAAACTAAAATCTTAAAAAATATCATATATATTCTATAATTTTCAAACTCGTACGTAAAAAAAAAAAAAAAAAGGTCGAGCTAACATTGGCTGGGTTGAACAACGAGCCAAGGGCCGCACAACAAGCCTTGGTTGCTCGTTCAATCCAAAAAAAAAAAAAATCAAACCAAATGAACTAGGGTGTAGTAAATGAACAATAGTTACTGTTCAAATGCTCTAGTTTTTTTTTTAGAATAGTAATAATAACTAGGGTTGGGACTGAGAGCAAGGCTACTAGCAATCTGATTAGAGTTGTATGCAAATTGATAGAAAATGTGAGCATCTAGGGAATTAGGAGGCAGGTTGAGAAGAGTTGCAATCAACGTTAATAAAGTTATATATATTAATCAACACATATCAAATATCAATTAACAAAGGAACTAAAACTTTTGATCATGTCGTTGGCAAGGCTTGAGAGTCACATATTTTGCACTTGTACTACGTATTTACTGGGGCACTAGCAAACGTTGGCAGGGGCAAGGCAAATAATAGGGATGCTCAAAGCAAGAGTAGCGTTGATCTTGAGACCTAATTCAAGATCATTCATGTCTTTAATAATGAGACACAAACACTTCCTGTTGTTCTTGAGAACTTGCTTTAGACCACTACAACAATGTGGGATTGGAGCTTTGGCATCACCTCCAACATAAGGCAGACATGTAGCCAGTCCTACTACCTGTTATGCACATTCTTCTCTATCTTTATTCGTATCTGCCATTGCAAAGCTCACCATAGCTGACATTAACACTATAGCGAACATTGTTAGTTGAATTGTAGTGTAATGGGAATTCATTGCAAGAGATCAGTATCAACAACAACACAGTAGAAGACAGCCTAATAAACAA